ATATTCTTCGATTCAGAGTGACAGCAGACGATACATACCTCCGGGTAGCTCCAAGAGGTAGCACCGCATGTCGCACAGCGTGCTTGACTGGGGCGGTATGTTCTTCTACTCCCTGTGCAGTCGGCTGGCACACGGGAGAAATCCTGCTCGCTTGTGAGGCTGAATATAGATGTAAATATACGGTAACGGTTATATCCGTGAAGAAGGCTAGCACGGACAGCGCGTCATCAGTCGCGCCCGACTCACGGTTACTGCCTAAACGCCACTGTGAACGAGGCCGCGGACAATCTGTAGAAGTACCCAACAGAGTTCCACTGCTAGCTCCGAAGATCGGGCATCTCTTGCCATGTCCGAGGGGTGAAATAGAAATGAAGGCGTTTGCGCAGATAAGCAATGGTTTGCGCTATTTGCTGACTCATCATCCGACTCTCCGCCGTTGCCTAATCGGGATAGCGCGCTCGCCTCCACCGAGCGGTACATCCGCCTCGTATTTCCACTTGGGAATACGCAACTCCTCTCCTTACGATCACGAACGAGAGATACTGCGACTGTCGCGAAAATGGTAGATATAGCAACTGAAGGTGACGTTGCGACACCTGCACCGACAAGCCACCTTCTTGAGCTACCTGGAGGTAAACATTGTCTTCTAAAGTTGGAGATGCATTGCTAACGATAGCAAAAGAGTTGCGCAACCGGATTTACAGCTATCTCATCGATGTCTCGAACGAGAGAATTGTACGCAGCGCATCCCGGATCCAAGGCTCCTTGCAATGCGTACTAACGAGCTTTGCAGTTGATGGTACAGGTGGCTCGTATCTCAGATCCGTCTAGTTTCGCACCAATCGCGGATGTACGCTTTGAGCCATACCTGTCGATAAATTCGTGGAAGCCTGGAGCCAAGAAAGGTTCTCGCGAAGTCTACTGGCAAAGCTCTCGACCCCTTGCGCTCGGCGTCACGCAGACCTGTCAGCTTCTCCGCCGCGAATTTCTTCCGATGCATCTGAGAAGTATGCCTTTTTGCGCCAAGACCACTGGTGTAGACTGCTATCGTTGTATCTGCGGTCTCGAAAACACACTCGATGGCTACGGACACAGGGTTATCGTTCGTGAGATCGATTCCGGGTCTCACGATTACCTTGGGGCTCTCGACCCGCTTCATTTCGTTCGCAAGTTCCCCGGTCGACTCCTGGATTTCCGCATTGAAGCTCAGGCTATGAGAGGACTCAACCGATTGGCAAAAGAGCGACCGCAATGGATCTGGGAGTACTCCGTAATTTCGTCAGCCACCCGACTTGTCTTCCGTATGGAGCTCCCTGACAGCAACATCATACTTGATTTCAAGGTTATGGCCTTCGAATCTACGCTAGACCCTGACATTACTGGTTCCATTGCCAGGAGCGATGCGCTGTTGAAGTGGGCGAAGGGGGTGACTCTTTTCGGCGGTGATGGTCATCCCTACTACGTGAACGGTCAGACTGACGTGTCTGCTTAGCCGAAGCATGGGAAGTCTTGGATAAATGTTGAAGTGCTCAAAGTTAAAGAGGATAGCCTTGGAAGGAGAAGTATTGAAAAGCTTGGCGGTGAAGGAGACGACGTCCGATGTGTACAGTCAACCATGACACTGCGATGACGCAGAGCGAAACGACCCACTCACGACTTCCACCTTATCGAAGACCTAGGTACCCTCACAAATGAGAGAAGTCGCAAGTATGATATACTGGATGTAGTCAATATCCTGCACCTGAACTTGAATTCAGGGACATATAAAAGATGCCTAGAGTCTACTTTCACGTTAATGCACCTACTGTTTACGTTTTCATCTTGGTATATGCTCCAGATGTCTTTCAGATCCCTACTATGAAATACTCGAGGACCCGGGCTGCGGATATTCCAAGACCCAAAGGGAAGTATGAGAAAGGTACTGTGAAAGTAAAAGGCTACATTCACCACCTACATCGTATACTAGCCGCCATTCAACGATGTTTCTATAATCAATCTCCAGGTATTTAAGGCTTGACTCCTCTTCCTCGTCGCTCAACCTCATACGAACCACGCCAATCCTCAACCAGAAGCCAAAGTTACAAGATGACTTCACACGTTCCGCAACCTCAATCACGCCTACTCCAGCTTCCGGGAGGTAAGTAGCATCCAGCAAAACCAATTTCAGAATCGCTAATGACATTCTTCACAGAAATCCGTAATCAGATCTACGACTACCTAGTCGTCCGCCAGCGGTACATACACTTCAAACGACCTACAGCAGATGCAAATACTGCGACGCTCCGTGCGTCGAATGACCAAAACACTCTCAGGATAGCTTTGGGTCTAGCCCACACCTGCCGGCAGCTCCGCAAAGAATTCCAACCCCTTCACCTAAAAGACGTCCATGCAATATGGGTGAACATTCCCGATATCAACGAATTCATTGCAGACTTTATACCGGTACCAGCGACCTGCACGAATACGCTGCATATAAGCATACCACGGTCCTACTACACGGTCAACCTCATGGCACTTCTCCGCTTCCAAAACGCAGCTACATCTGCTAAGATTATTCTTCTGGACCCTTATCGGGGCCTCCCTAAAACTTTCGACATTGATCCTGAGGATAACCGCAACGGAGACCCACACTATAGATTCTTTTGCTTTCTCACAGCCGTTCTTGCCCTTGAGAGGACGGCGGCTTGGCGCACGTACTTTCGAGACGCGATTGTCGACATGACGGTGGATCATGCCGAGCAACTGTCTTGGACCATCAAGGTTAAGAACGATGCAAAAGAAGACTGGATGCCTTGGGATGCGGTCACTTCACGAGAGGGCTCGTCCAGGCAACACCTTGCTGCTGCTTCGATGTGGAAGATGAGGATTGGGATGGGTCATATAATTATGCCAAACGTTGTCGTAGCCTCTGATTAGGTCGGCGCGCGCTCTCAAAGCAATCTGCAGCGGGCTGAGGATAGGAGGGATTTCTGAGCCAAAGGCAAGGAAGTTTGAGATGCAGGCGGTTTGTTGAGGCTTGTAGTAGCTACAAGACGAACGTCACATCCACGATGAATCAAGTATCAATGACCTTTCTCTTTCTGGGTGAAGCTTGTGGACGCTACGAACTTTATGGCTTGCTTCTAATAATTAGATCTTATCGAAGAATATACTGTTGCATACTGTAAACAAAGGTGTTTAGGAAATACACCTGCATTGCGATTATATACTGTGTTACTCAGCCGCGTCGTGCCTGCGTTGTAGAACCAGCACATTCAACAAATGATCAATGACCTTTCACGCTTTTATACTCTGTGATAACAATGTCAAGCCTTGTCTTTACACCAAGCCAAGTGCACCACCCCACACCACACAACCCTACATCGCCCCATGAACAATCGCACTTATCGCACTATAGTCAGTCCCCTCAGAGTCATAACCATCATCACTACCACCAAAGCCCCTATTACCTTTCACCGCCCACATCACCTCCTCAAGCATCTCCTTCTCCTTCATCGCTTGGGTCATTCTCGGCTGCTTCTCCCTGCCATTCTTGTAGGCCTTCTCCCAATGATAAGTCGGATGCTGGAACAGCACCTCCAGCTTATTTTTCCGACCCTCCGGTCTTGTAATGGCTCGCAGAACATCGTAGTAGTCTTCTTCTTGTGCAGCGTTGATCGCGCGGCGCAGGTCTAGGGTTTTGAGCTTGGGCGCGCTGACGGAGATGACGGGGTCGTCGGCCATGGGCTTTAGATTGCCTAGCTTTAAGTTGCCTGTGCGGCCGTTGTGGCCGGTTATGCTGAGCGAAGTGATGTTTGGGCATGCTGTGAGGATGGGTGGGATGCACGTCCCTGTGATGAGAAGAGCCGAATCAAGCCGCAGGGTCTTGAGGTTTGGGCACGCGCGTGCTAGACGAACCACTGCATCGTCGGTGATGGGCATATTAGTCTTACCAAGACGCGCGCCCAATCCTATCTTCTCCAACTTGGTACGAAAAGCTTCGTCAGCTGTAGCGATCGCGTCAAGATGCGCGCTGTCACGTGAGTTAGCCCCACCTGTACGGTCCGGGAATTTGTTCACCTACTCCTGCACCACAAAGTCTGGTCCAAACTCGATTTCTTTGATGCCAGCTGTAAATCCCAATTCTTCTGGTTTCCATTCGTCAAGTTTCATGAAAACGCGTTGCACTTTCGTTGGCTTCTTGCCAGTTGAAGTACGTGATCCTCGCGCGTTGAGCCCGGACTTTTGTTCCTGGCGCTTTTTGGCTCGCTCGGCTTTCTGCTCGTCGGTGCGGCCCTTCCATTGTCGCTTCGCTGGCGCTGCAGATTCCATGGCGATTGCGGTATTTCGATGGGTATATGAAGTCCACTATTGATCTATCGTATAGGTGGGAGAGAGGCGTTGGCGCTCAGATTGGGCACCGAGGGACGCTACCTTATGTGAGACGGAAGCTTAGGCCATTGCACTGCGCAATCGAATGAGCAAGGGGTCTACACCCTTGAACGCTGATCGACACCCATGACATCGTTGTTGTATGGATTGCGATCCCCTCGTTTTCAGTTCCGGGCTCTCCGATCGAGATGATGAGGGGAACCATTGCGACTGCCGGAATAGGTCCTAGGCGATAAGCGTCAACTAGACACGCGCCTTCCTACGTAGCTCTACCAACAATCACTTCCCTATAACGCGACGTAGCACACACATCAGCATCGCAAGTTCCAATCTCGTACAAAATGAATCATCATTCGTATCGTGTCACCGCCGAAGCAGCTGCTATATGCTACCTGACTCTCGCGAGCCCTCATCACCAATCTAAAGAAACAAGAACATAGAGCCATACAATTACAGATGCCCACCCATCCATCTTATGCTGAAACCCCAACGCCAAACACCTCAGTGATTAAAATGTAGTAGGAGATCCGTCAGTGGTATAGAACAATTCGACCAAGCCAAAACGCCAGTGTTGTCCGTGTGGAACCCCCTTCCCAAATGTAGATGTATGTTTCTGTTATACTCCAAACTCAAGTGATTCGCCTCTTCAACCCTCCAAAGAGTCCTTTGAGACCGCTGGACTCCTCCTTCTTCTTCCTCCTGTCGCGTCGGTCGGTCTCGCCGCGCCTGGGCCTAGGACGGTCTTCACCATGGTCTCGTGCGCGGGGCCGATCCGATTCCACTCGACGACCACCAGATGGCCGTTCTTTCTCAACAACGGAGATACGGCGTGTCTTGGGGCGTTCTTCCGGTTTGGACATACGCCTGCTTCGACGACGCTCGCGTCTTTCCTCGTCTGAGATGGAGATCTCGCCGACAACCGCAGCTGCGTCCTCGATTACCGGTGATTCGATTGTCTCGATAGGTTCCGGCTCTGGCTCGTATTCGAAAGGCTCTGGTGGCGGCGGCGGGAGATCCTCAGGTGGCGGAGGCGGTGGTGGAAGAGAAACTCCTCCGTCCCGTCCTCCAGACATCTCGTGTTCAGGACGACGCATGAAGCGTCGCTCCTCTTTCCACCTGTAGTAATCGGCCTCTTCCTCAGCAGAAGCGAAGCGACGTTGACTATGTGAAAGACGCCGACTGCGATGCATACGCTCTGGGCGCTCTCGGCTCTGATCCGATGACATGTCTCGGCTCGAAGGTCGTTCAGGCTCCGGTTCTCTTCGCGAAGACTTGACAGGTGTAGCCTCTAGCGTGTTGGCGCGGGCACGAGACGATCGCGACGGTTTCGCAGCCGGTGGCGTCGCTTCGGGCTTTGAACGGCCAAAGATGCCACCGAAGAGACTACCACGCTTCACGTTCGGTGGAGTGTCTCGGGTACTCAAACGCCTGCGTGGCGCACTACGAGGAGGGGTGTCGTCGACTACTGGTGGCAGCGGGGGTGGAGGAGAAGCGCCATCATCGTCTTCCTCTGCTGCTCGGCGAGCAGCATCGCGAGAAACATCAATGAGCTCTTCCTTTGGTTGCAGCAAGGCAGCTGCTTTGGCTGCTTCCCGCTCAGCCCTCCTCTGACGTCGTAGTTTCCTTGCCTCTTCTTCTTCGCGCGCTGCCTGCTCAATCTTCTCCTGTTCCAGCCGCTTCGCTTCCTTCTCGGCTTCGTGTCGTTGCCTCCTCTTCTCATGTCGAATACGTCGGTCCTCTTCTTCCTGGGCGAGCTTCTGTTCTTCTTTGAGCTTCTTGCGCTCCTCCATGGCCCTCATGAGCTCTTCTTCGGCACGCCTGACTGCTCGGCGTCGTTCCCGATGCTCCAGCTTTCTCGCCTCTTCTTCTGCTTTTAGGCGGGCAGCGTCTGCGGCGGCGAGTCGCTCCTTTTCAGCTCTCTCGGCCCGTCGGGCTTCGCGTCGCTTCTGTCTGTCGGCTTCTTCGTCAACCTCCTCGACGGGGCGACGCTTGCTGTATCTCTCCTCACCCCTGGGTTCTCGGTAGTGCGAGCGGTACGGATCCGGGTACGCCTTCTGTATGTCACTACCACTACTGGCTATCTCAACCTCGCGCAATTTGGCCCTTCTGCGCTCGGCCGCTTCGCGCTCTGTCATGCTGTCGCGACGCCTTGTTCTTGGTGCATCAGGAACGGCAGAGGCTGGCATTATTGGTCGCTCCATGATACTAGCGCCACTTTCGCGTCTGCGGCTTGGCCGGTGCTGGCTTTCACGACGGGTGTGCGAATGTCGGCGACGGGCCTTCTCACGACTGGGTGTATCGGCTGACGGTTCGTCCTCAACTGCAAAGTCGCGCTCCCTGTCCGCACGGTCATCAAGGGTATGACCGACTAGTGCAGCAGCGGCGGCACCAGTAATCCCAGCAGCAGCAACAGCAGCTACGGACGGTAGAGGTGAAGGTGCGCTTGGGACTTCATCAACGTCGAGGGACTGGTCTGCTGGTGCATCGTCATCGGCCTGCTCGGGTTCGGGACTCTCTTCATTGGCCACCTCGGCTACGACGTCTTCTACCTCCACTTCGGGGGCTGATACCGACTCCTCCACATCCTGGTCTTCCGGGATTTCATCAGCGGGTGCATCCGCCGCTACTGGAGCGGGTTCTTCGGGTTCCTGCGTTGGTTCTGGGGCAACCTCAGCTGGTACTTCCGGTTCCTCAGGAACGGGTTCAGTCGGCGGCTCGGGCTCTTCAGCATCAGCTGGTGATTCGGGTTCTGGCTGTTCTTCTTCGGGAACTTCGGTTGGTGCCTCTACATGTTCTTCCTCAGGCTCGACATCAGGTGATGACGCCGGCTCTTCTTCGTTCGTTGCTTCCTCCGGGGCTTCGTCTACCGCAGGTTCCTCGACATCATCGCCCTCTACCACTGGCTCAGCGGCTTCAGCGGCTTCTGCTGGAGCTTCTTCAACCTCAGCAGCAGCCTCTTCAGGCGGTGCGTCCTCTTCGGGGGCTGGCTCTGACGCAGGTGGAGCATCTTCGGCACCGTCGTCGTTCGATTCGCTGGCTTCAACCACTGACGGCTCCTCTGCCTCCCCTGTAGCTCCAGACCCATCGTTTGATTGACCATCCTCACTAGGTGGCTCTGGTGACTCTTCAGCAGGTGGTGCTGGCTCCGCCTCTTCCACCTCTTCAACGAGTGAAGGGTCGGCATCAGCTGCAGCAGATCCATCTTCCTGAGCCGCATCGAGACCCTCATCGGCGGCTTCATCTCGCGTCGCCACCGGTTCTTCTGGGTCCGCAACTCCTTCTGCCGGCGGCTCCTCTGGTTCATCCGCAGCTGCATCCGCATCTTGCTCAACAGCTTCCGCTTCTGCTTCCGGCTCCGGTTCCGCTGCGACTGACTCAGGCGTCTCTGGTTCAGCAGGCTCTTCCGCCTCTTGCTCAGCCGTAGATGCATCTCCCACTTCAGATGCCGGGTTCTCGACCCCGTCGGTTGATGGGTCTTCGGTAGGCGGTGCGGCGGTATCTAGGTCCTCCCCATCCACTGTGGTCGGCGCAGCGTCGTCATCGGCCTCAGCAGGGTCCTCCGGCGGTGCAACGGACTCTCCAGCCTCACTCTCGCTGCCAGATTCGCTGACCTGAGAAGCATCGTCACCCTCGTCTTCCTGGGGGACTTCCTCTTCTGGTTGGGGTGCATCCGCCGGCTCAGACACCTCGGTAGCTGCCGTGGGCTCCTCTTCAGGCTCAGCGGAATCTTGTGACGAAACCAGTGAATCGTCGTTCGCAGAATCTTCTTGAGTGATAGCACTGACATCGTTCTCGTCATCTCCTTGCTCCTCCTCGACTGCTTCGAGCGCAGGATCAGACGGATCTTCGACCTCTGATGCTGGAGACTCTGCAGCTGGGACGATCTCAGAGGTTGCGACATTGACTTCAAGTGATAGACCTGGATGCGGCTCTGTGACCGCGGCCGATTCGGCAGGCGACTCCGGACTCTCGGAAGCTTCTGGATCGTCGGGCTCGGCAGCATCGTCCACTGCCATGGAGCTCTCTGGCTCTTCTTGAGAATTCGAGGAGAGCCCGGAAGCGGCATCGTCATCTGAAGCGGCATCGTCGTCAAGGATTGACTGATCGTCCTCCGGCTCTTCAGGCTCAGCAGCAGTGACATCAGCGACATCACTCGGCGGTGCCTCTTCGGCATTCGTTGTTTCATCTTCAGCGGTTGCTGAGTCAGGCGCGTCGTCGGCCTGGGGAACTTCAGAGGCAGCAGGTGCGGCAGACACCTCAGATCCAGACCAGTCATCGTCCTCGGACTCCGACCCAGATTCGCTCCCCGCATCGGATCCCTGCTCTTCTACTGGTCCATCATCTGGCTCCGGTCCTGTGTTGGCTCCGCTGGAAACCTCCGAATGCTGTGGCTCCTCATCGGGCCCAACGTCCTCATGGACCTGCAATAGATCAGTATATTTTTCTGAATGGCCAACGGCATGAGGCAGATGTCGGTTCGGAGTCGATCACAGCTTATACATACCACTTGCGGCACCTTTTTGGCCGGCATGTCTGGTGCAGAGTCGGGCTCGGCTTCAGCTGGCGCAACGTTGGCAGCTACAACATCATGGTCGGTTTTTTCGGAAATATCTTGAAGAACAACTGGATCGCCCGCGGCGTGTTCGGTCTGCTTTTCTTCGGCCGTGGGGTTTTCAATTGGCGTCTCAACGTCAGCCTCTCTCGAGACAGGGTCTGGGCTGACTTCGCTTGTCGCGTCAGCTGGGATGCTTGCGCATGTTTCGTCGGTATTGTCGTCGAGTTTGGGTAAAGGTGCTTCAGTCTCAGCTGCACTGGTCAGCGGGTGCGGTGCATGGCCCCTTTTGGGTGGAGGAAATTATCGCTGCTGTACAAGTAGAAGTGCAATCACGAAAAAAAAGAAGGTGAGATTCAGAGGTGACGGGGATGTCGGGAGCCAAAAGACAAGCGGCAGAGCTAGCGCGGAGCAAAACCACGCATCTTGGAACGTCGACAAATTGCGATGCATCTATCGCAGCCCGAGACTCATGGCGACACACATGCTTCCACGTGACGATAAGCTAGTCACAGCGGTGGCAGAATGTCCGCAGAATGTGCTGGCAGGTGGGCCAAAGGAAAATATGGGGCGTCCAATGGGGCAAGCCAACCGCTGCTCGCTAGCCCGATTCGCCGCTGGCATGGCGCGCTACCATCGAATCGTGCGTAATTGAGCCAGCGAAAAGAAGTGCAGACGGACATAAAGATGTGAAACACAAAAAACATAGGAGATACGTACCTGTGCATGAATCTGGATTCTCCACGTCATCGGGTGTAGCCGAGACTATGGCTTGCTCGCTGTCCTTGGCAGCCTCGCTACTCACCGCTGGCTCCGACTCGTCGACTGGCGATTCGTGTGCACTCGCATCGTCTTGTGCGTCTGTGCTCGCATCGGTGATGGCATTCTCCTCTAGAGCTGCTGGCTGGCTCACCTCCGGGGCGGGTTCTTGAGCTGCAGGTGCATCGCCAGCTGCAAGCTGTGCCTCTTCAGTGCTTTCATCAATACGTGTCTCAGGCGTCTGATCCTCCGCGGAAGCATCAGCTGAGTCGCCAGTCTCTTGTGGCTCGGATGGTTCTGGCGATGTTTCAGAGGTAGAGGCTTCGTTCTGTTCGACGACCTCTGGTACGGCCGCGGACGTATCGTCCGTGGTAGGCGCATCCTCGTTGACATCGACGACGGCAACTTCATCGACGTCATCGGCAACCGGAGCAGAGGTTGCAGTGTCAGACGGCTGAACGATCTGTTCAGTCTCGGGCTTGTCCTGGTCTGGTGACTTCTCATCCTCATGCACAGGCTCCGATGAGTCGTGTGCGACGCTCTCTTGATCAAAGTCTTGATGCTCGGAAGGATTGGTCTCGCTCTCACCGGGTTGTGATGAGGCATCGTCGTCCTTCTCCCAGTCCGAGATGCCCATGTCGGAAACATCATCGTCGTCTTGCTCCCAATCGGAGATATCCTGCATGGTGTCGGCAGTTGGCAGTTCTTCATCGCTCGCCTCAGCCTCCATTGTAGCAACTTCGATGGGTGCCATATCAGCAGTGTCTGGTGCCGATGCAGTAGGCTCCTCTGATGTCACATCAGGTGTGGCTTCCGTCGTTTGCGTGTCTGTCTCTTCTGGTGTCGACGCAGCTTCTGGCTCCTTGGTGCAGGGATTGGTCTCGTCTTGTGGAACTGACGGCTCACTGTCGCATTCACCGGAGGCTGGTCCGATAGTTTCGTCGGTGGGAGCAGGTTCGGGTGCGTCCGTTGCTTCTGAGGCTTCCGCTATCGAGTCAGCTTGGGGCTCATCTGTAATCTTGTCAGCATTGATTACAAATATATTTGCTTGAACGCGGCTCGCTGTGCGACAGTAAGACATGAGTGAACTTACCTGTGGGATCAGCGCTAGCCTCGTTTGGCTCAGCTACATCCATGACCGGCTCAGTAATTTCAGGCGCTTCGGCATCTGCAACTCCGGGCTTATCTTCGCTCTCAGTTGACGGTGAGTCGCTAGATGGGACTGGCGCAGGCTCCGGAACTTCTGCAGCATCAGAAGATTCCGCAGCGGGATCTTGAACAAGAGAGTTATCAGGTGCATCAGCCTCTTCTGCAGCTGCATTGGCCTTTGCTTCAGCTGCAAGTATTGAAGCCACGACAGCGACGTCTGCCGGTGCTGCTGAAGTCCATGCTCGAGCTTCTTCGACTGCGGGACTAGACGTCTCGGTTTCTTGCTTCTCATCCAGTGATGGCTCTTCTTGAGCAACGCTTGCTTCTAACTCTGGTTCAGCGGCATCCTCAGCAACTTCAGTAGGGACAGGCTCGACAGCTGGGGCTTCATCGACCACGGGTGTTTGTTCATCAACTGGTGGTTCTACCGGTGGAGCTGGCTCATCCGCAGTAGAGACATCTTCGACGATAGGCGGTTCCTCGGTAGAAGGCGTTTCGTTGACAACGGGTGTAGTCTCAGTCTGGTTGGGCTCCTCAGCAACAGGTGTATCCTCTGTCTTTGGTGCTTTCTCGGCAGGAGAAGCATCCTCGACAGTCGGTGTGTCTTCACTAACAGGCGTATCTTCGGCGGCTTGGACGTCTTCAGATGGCGCTGTCTCCTCGCTGGCGGGTGCTTCGGGTGTGGCGTCGACTTCAGGGTCTTCTTGGGTGGCGCTAGCCGTCTCTTCGACGGGAGGTGCTCCCCCGGGCGCAGTTGTTTCCTCAGAAGTAGGTGCAGCCTCAGCAACAGCTGCGTCTTCTACGGCTGGAGTATCCTCAGGAGTTGGTGGTTCCTCCGTGGGAGCCGATTCTGTGGCTGTTGTTGTCTCGTCGGCAGCGGGCGTCTCTTCGGCAGCGGGAGTTTCCTCAATGGCGGGCGTCTCCTCAGCGGCGGGCGGCTCCTCAGTAGCGGGAACCTCTGCATCCACAACGGCTGGCTGTTCCTCAGCGGGGGTTACTTCTTCGACAACAGGTGTCTCATCGACGACAGGTGTATCTTCGGCGGCAGGTGTCTCTTCGGTGACAGATGCCTCTTCAACAGCAGGTGCCTCTTCGACAGCAGGCGCTTCTTTGACAGCGGGCGCTTCTTCGACAGCGGGTGCTTCTTCGACAGCAGGTGCTTCTTCGACAGCAGGAGCCTCTTCAGCAGGAGTTACCTCTTCGGCCGGAGTCTCTTCGACGGCCGGAGCCTCTTCGACAGCCGATGTTTCTTCAGCAGCAGGTGTCTCTTCAACAGCGGAAACTGGCTCTTCAACAGCAGGAGAATCCTCTACAGCCGCCGGCGGCTCGTCTGAGCTACCTGCTTCCTCAACTGCAGGTTCCTCTTCAGCTGCTGGCGGGGCTGCTTCCTCTTCCACAACAGCAGGCTCTTCAACGGGAGCTGCTGTTTCTTCGGTGGAAGCGTCTGCCTCAGCTACCTTCGCTTCGTCTGAAGGTGATGCCTCAGGCTCGACCGCATCCGCACTCTCTGCCGTAGCTTGTTCCTGCTCAGATGCCGCTTCGCTGGGTGCCTGTGGTTCATCGGCTGAGGTTTCCGCGGGCGCTTCTGGGGCAGGAGCTTCTGAAGCTGTTTCTGCGGTCGGCTCGACTGGAGGGGGAGGAGTGTCTTCTGCGACTGGATCGGCTGGAGTAGTCTCCTCTGCTGTGGTATCAGTAGCTGGAGCTTCTTCGACAGGAGCAGGATTGTCGGATTGTGGTGGCTCAGCAGATTCCGCAGACGCATCTACCGGTGATGGCTCGGCTTCAGCTGCTGGCTCGGGAGCGGCGGGAGCTGGCTCCTCGATCGGAGGACTGTCCACGACTGCCTCGTCTTGTTCCTCCACTACATCCTCGCTGACAGCGGCCTCGTCTACCGCAGGTGGATCATCGGTCGGTGGCGGCGGGGGCGGTACGGTCTCGCTTACGATCGATCCTGAAGCATCTTCGGTAGGTTCCTCGATGATGACGCTTTCGGAGACGTCTGAAGAGGGGGCATCTCCATCGGTGATTACTGTCAACCTGTCGTCACCGCTGCCATCGTTGCTAGACTTCTTCCCTCTTGACTTGCTGGTCATCACCTTCTCACTGGCCAATGCCGAGAGCAATGAACCCCGTCGCTCCTTCTTGATAATGCCGATCGGAACGAAGACCTTCTTCTTCTCCTCTTTCGGTGGCGAAGGAGGTGGAACGGATGTCGATGGCTTTCTGGGGCGGATGAACGCGGTGGGCTTGCCTTTACCATTCCCCCACTGTTTCTTCTTTTTGCCTATGCTTGCGGCGTCTGGGTCTTTGGTGTCAGAGGCAAAATGAACAAACTTCTCGGTTGGGGATTTCGGAGGCTCTGGAGCGGCCTGCTCGGACTCACCACTTTTCTCACTCTCCACGACTACTGGCTCCGGTGTTGCATCCGCCGGTGGTGCTGGTGGGGCAGGGGGTGTAGGGGGTGTAGGGGGTGTAGGGGGTGCAGGCTCACTGGGAGGTACTGGCAGAACTTCTGGTGCTGGCGGTGCTGGAGGTGCTGCTGCTTCGGGTTCAGCAGGCGGTGCATCTACCGGTGCTGGGGGTGGTGGTGGAGGCGGCAGTGCGTCAACATTCGTGACATCGCTTGGTCCTGGAGGCTCGTCTTTGACATCCTCCGTCACAACTTCAGCTGCCACAACGTCGTCCCCACTACTTGATGGTGCCTCTGCTGGTTGGGTTGATGGATCTTCTGGTATCGGTTCTGCTGGGGTTGTTGCCGCAGGTGCTTCTACTTCTGCTGATGGCTCTTCTGCTGGAGGTGCTTCTGATGTAGCCGGCGGTGCGGCCTCTTCAGGTGTGACCTCTGCTGCTGGCGTTTCCTCCGGAGCAGCTGGAGCAGCCGGAGCATTTTCTGGATCTACAATGGTCAATTGGACATGTTACGCATGATACATTCCAAGCATACCTGCTTGTTCGGCGTTGCTGCTCTTCTCATCAACTACCTGCGTATATGAGAATACTGGTGTAGGTGGGACTACTCGACGATAGACGGGTTGTTGGGGCTTCGGTGTAGTCGCCGTAGCATAGAAGTTCTTCCCGGTGTTGGTGCCGCCGCTCGCATACGGGTTCGCCCATTGCGATATCGAAACATTCTCGAATTGGCGCATAGTGTATCAAACAAAGTCAGGCGCGGTGTTTCGAGGTCCAGAAATTCGATAAGTTGTGCTACGTGCTATAGATGTTTTCTCTGTTCCATTGCTGGTGATAACAAACGGTAGGTATGCAGAGGCGACATTAGACGTGGGGTGCGAGCATTGATTGCGGAGAGACGAATGAGAAACGGGTCAGTCTAGACGCAAAGCACAGAGGGTGGAGGTGTGCAACGTGCGTGGCTTCAATCGGCCAAAGCTGGGACGAGCGCTCAGATCAGACGAAAGAGAGGTGCAGGACAACTGTCACAAGACATGATGCGCGAAATCGTATGGAGATGCCTCGCATTGTGGGCGCAATGGTTCGGTAAGCCTCAGACTGGCATACCCGCATGCTGCCGCAGGCTCACGCTGAGAAGACGATTCTCGGCTGTAAGCATCATTGGTCCACGTAGGGAAACCCAGTTCGCTCAGGTTGATAGAGTTGGGAGCCCAGAAGGTGGGGTTTTCCACTGCGAGGGCTTTTCGATTATTGGTCCGATGATGACTTAGCTTGCAGTTGTGTCGCCAGCGCGGATCGTGGTGCAGCGTTGGTCAACGGCGAAATTTTGCGGCACCGGAAGGCTTGAGAGCGTATAGTGCGGCAAAGCGTCAATTAGCAAGGAAAGCCCTTCTCGCAACCTTCTCGATACCCAAAGAGGGCCGCGATGCAGGGGCACGCATAGGGTCGTCATGGCTAAGAGGAAAAAGTGAGGTGTTGATGGGTTGAGTGACGTGGCGTGGCACCGCGGGTCCGGAAAGCAGCCACTAAGCGACTGATTCGTGAGGGCCGACCCGGGTTTGGTCGTACCTGCCACTACCTGCGGCGACGTGGGACATTCACAAAGAAGCATCCTGCTGACCCCACCACCAAAACCCTTGGTACAACGAAGCCGTCGCATAGCATAGCGGTATGGAGGGGCCTCCGGTGTCATCGACTTTAGTCGCAGCTCCAGATCGCGATGCTGCGACTAACCTTCCTCGCTGTCCAATCTACAACAGAGGCCATTGGTGACGTGCATCCAGTCGACGATAGGTGGAATTGATTATGCAGCGGTTATCGAGGCTTTCTGAAAAGGCGAGAGGCAGTGGAAGGGTAAGGAACATTACCCAGAATGGCGGGCGAATCTATTGTCAGTACGTGTTCGCAGCTCAGTGCTCCATGCCCCAATCAACGTAGATGAGTTGATTACCGCGCTGCAAGCGAGCATGTCGTCAGATGCGCTCATGTAAGCAGTTCTGGATTCATCTAGCCTGAGGATGAATCTGGGTTACGTGAATGGCATCCTTCTCCAAGTGAGTGGTCTCGAAGAGCTTTCAAGGGGTCACTTGGCGGGCAGTCTATCATTGGATGGATGTTTGAACCGTGACATTGAGGGTTGATCTGCTATTTGCCTCAGAAATGCGTTCCGACGCCGAGTTGGAACGAGTCCGGAGCACCATGATCTCTGATCTACTACACTCATCACGTGCCCACTTCAATTGAGCACAGCTACCCCCTAACGATCAAGAAATCTCTCACCATTTTCCCAATCGACATACACCCACCACGCCCACGAACTCCTTCTTCATCTATCCCCATAGCCGCCATCCATTCCCGATTCACCTCTTGATCCCTCTTGCATTTTTCGCACTCACGCCTCTTCCCCCTGTGCTTCTTATGAGATTTATGCGATATCGTCATAACATGTACATCGGTCTTGGGCCAAACCCTCTGCTCAAGTGTGTGCCAAGTAGTAAGATTCATTGTAGGCGGCGAAGTAGGTGATGCGGATGTAAGCGTGATAGTAGGCGTGCTCTCGAAATAGTCGCTGTTGCTCAGCACTATCGTGGGAGGGTTTTGTCTTTCACAAGATGGCTTTGCTTCCTCTAGTGGTGTGTAGAGTCTTTTTGGGTTGAGCACATTCATCCAGTCGAGGGTTTCGCGCCATTCTTGTGTGAGTTCGGAGCCGCAGCTCTTCCATGTATTTTTAAGGGTTGAGGCGCTGATGGTGGGCATGGACCATCGTTGTTTTGCCGTGATTGGGGTGGGCAGGTGGGTTGTAGCCGGCGATGGTGGAGACGATGGACAGCAGACCAGACAGTTGGCTTGGTCTTGCGCGTCGGCGTAGGTGCAGGCCCAACATTGGGTATCGTTGGCAGACATGGCTTTGGCTTTGGCTTTGATGCGGTGTCTTTCGAAAGGGGGATTTTTTGATGGAGGACTGCCGGATTTTGTTGATTGCAGGCGAATGAAATGTGACTAGAGAGACTGGATATCCAAGAGAAAGTGAAAAAGACTACCATGACTGAAATATTCTGTTCTGTAGAAGAAATGGCTTTCCAAGTGTTGTGAGTCGCTGGAGTTGGTTAGCAAACCATGGTTCTCACACGATGTGTGACCAAGCACAACGTGGGCTCAAGGCAACCATTTGGCCGCAGCTAGCAAACTACATCTAAGTGAATGAACACGGAGAACATTCACCCAAGATTGTTGTGAGAGAAAAATGTGCGTGAAATGATGACGTTCCTGCTCTCACTGCCTTGGCTCTTTCCTCATCGCGCTCATCGCGCGCTTTCATGACTCACGCTACACGAGATGAGAAGGCGCATCACTAGCCAGCCTAGGAGGCAGTGCTGTCAGTTTTCTTTTGGAGCGTCGCTTGCGAGACATGAAGATACTCGTGTCGCTAAACTCTGTCTCCATTTTGCATGAGTGATAACTTCCCAATCCACTCTTCTGAGAAATCGAGAACGAGCCTAATGAGGATGTTATCTCGCACGTATACTGTAAGAGATATTAGATTTACTTATAAGTGAACCTTGAATCCGCTATGTCGCCGCGAAAGTGGGTATCATTCATTAGTCATAATCGTAAAAGAAACATGCGTCTTGAGTTCAAAGTAGCACCCAGTCCACAGCTACAGTCCACTTCTCCCCGCCAACGTCCGCGTCCCACATAGGTGCGCGAATACCGATCACACTCCCAGTCTTTACCAGCACACCTCCCGAGCTTCTAGCACCACCTTGGCCAGCTAACAAGACTCTCATCGGGGTATGTCCTCCATCCACACTCTCCGGTCTTGAAGCGTTATACATGCCAGCCTCAGTATCGCCACATGCAAAGACGACGCCACCTGCATAGCACTCTACTTCTTCTGCGCTACGGCTTCGACCCCCGCCTCTTGAGAGACTCGAGACCCGTATCCGCAGCTTCACGCCGTCTTCCCTGTCACGACCGGTGGCTGCACCACTCCTATCCTGTGCCGCAAACCCTGTGTTTGCCGTCTCGATCATCCAGGTTGTAACGGTCGAGGCAAGGCCGTTAGGTATGTATTTGCCGTTCTTTCGCGAAGGAGAGAAGATCTCAGGCAGCGGTCGAGAAGGTTTCGGGGGCGAGGTTGGGAGCGCGGGGAGTATGAAATGGGGACGTTGCGGTGCACTCGCTGGTGTGGAAGTCACCGCTGCGATGCTGGGAAATGGCGCAGGCGTCCGTGGCGGTGGGACTTTGAAGCGGTGCGTGGTCGCATTGGACACGGGGGCTGGTGTGGAGGGCTCGGATGGTCGTTGGAGCGATGGCGAGCTTGCAGGGGACATGCGACGACGCTTATTCGTTTGGACTGATTCGAAGAGCATATCGTCTTCTTGGTCTTCTCCTTGTCTGTCCCAGTGGCCAAGCTGCGTGTCCCCGCCTTCGATGGATTGCATAACATCTTCGCCGTGGAGTTCATCCTGCCCCTCTGATTGGCTTGATTGCGATGGCTCTTCTATGCTTTCTACTCTCTCATATTTCCTCCGCAGCTTCGGAAGTGGTGTAGCATGCGCGAATGCATCTTCTTGCGGCTCATCGCGCTTCTCCTTGGTGACTTCTTGCGTCTGCCGAGGCGACGCAAAGACAAAGCGCTTCGCAGGCGTCAGTTTTTTGAACTGAAGCTCAGGTTTCGGCTGCGCATTCTTGATAGAAGCCGGTGTTTGTATAGCGAGGGCATTGCGCAGGCCAGATTGGGGTTTCTTGATCTTCTGCGTGGAAGGCGGATTGGGCGCTAGGAAGCGGTGCGGGGAGGGCGTATGGGTCGGCATCGTATGAGCAACATCGGCGCGTGCGGTGTGTTCGATATGGCGGGTAGATGGTGTTCGGCGGTATTCGTTGTGGGTGGAGGCATGGACATGGTGGCGAGACTGGCGAGGTCGAGGCCATCGCAAGCGCGATCAGTCGCGAAAACGCGGGGGCGCGTGGTCAGCAGGCTGCGCGTTTGGCAGGCGCGTCACGTGTCTACGACTTCACCCATCCCATCGCTAGGCTTTTTCCTCGTAGCAAGCCCCTATTCTTGCTTAACGGCGGGTAGTGTATCGCGCCGTCCAGAAATTAGACGCATCCTTTGCAGCCTGCGAACCCGACACTATTCTCTCAACATCCACTCTAGAGCGCATCCCGACACCAGACTACCACATATATCTCCTACAAGACTGCTTAGGCATTCATCAGGTCACTAGCTACACGAATTGTATCACAGGGTACATCGTCTTAAAGCTGGGTTTTGCAACAACTCAACAGTTCCGCACTCGGTCCACATGTCATGATCTCAACGACATGATAGATCCAGCCTCGGGAATCTCTAGATAAGCTTTACCGAGCTTAGATGCCTTCCGCATGTCAATTCTTGCGCGAAGGATCTGTTACAACCAGCTCTATGTATATCATCCCACGCGTAATCTCCACAATAGTGACAACTGCCGCATGTTTCCTGATACCGGACGAATCGGGGTGCTGGCATTGGGCGTCAATTGGATTCGGCGATACCAGCCATCTTTCGCAGACCTGCGCTGGGTCTGTGGGATCGCAATGGGGTGATCTCGCGATTGGCGCCGGCCCGGGGGTGATCAACGGTATCCCAGCTTACCCTCGTCTCCATAGGAACATCCGCCAAACTCAACACAGGAGTATTGAATGGAAGCATAGACTGCGCGTAGCACAATCGCAGCGCATGGAACAACCAGGC